CTGAGGTTAAGAATTCCTCATATCAGTGAGATCATGTGATACATGTCTTTCTCTGATTGACTTATTTCGCTCAGCATAATACCCTCCAGTTCCATCCATGTCATTGCAAATGGCAAGATTTCATTCCTTTTAATGGCTGCATAATATTCCAGTGTGTGTGTGTGTGTGTGTGTGTGTGTGTGTGTGTGTGTGTGTGTGTGTATACCACATCTTCTTTATCCATTCATCTGTTGATGGACATCTTCACTCTTTCCACAGTTTAGCTATTGTGGACATTGCTGCTATAAACATCGGGGTGCACGTACCCCTTCGGATCCCTACATTTGTATCTTTGGGGTAAATACCCAGCAGTGCAATTGCTGGATCGTAGGGTAGCTCTATTTTCAAGTTTTTGAAGAATCTCCATACTATTTTCCAGGGTGGCTGCACCAGCTTGCATTCCCACCAACAGTGTAGGAGGGTTCCCCTTTCTCCACATCCCTGTCAATATCTGTCGTTTCCTGACTTGTTAATTTTAGCCATCCTGACTGGTGTGAGGTGGTATCTCATTGAGGTTTTGATTTGGATTTCCCTTATGCCGAGCGATGTTGAGCACTTTTTCATGTGTCTGTTGGCCATTTGGATGTCTTCTTTGGAAAAATGTCTGTTCGTGTCTTCTGCCCATTTCTTGATTGGATCATTTGTTCTTTGGGTGTTGAGTTTAAAAAGTTCTTTATACATACATTTATTCTTAACAGAGTGGCTAGTACATAGTAAGCTTTTGACAAATTTTGACTATTCTTACTTATATCAATATCAACAAAAATCCATAAACATCCAAGTTCACATTTTCCTACATAGGATAATTAAAACCAAATTCACAACTTTTAGAAATAACAATTTTGAGAAACAAACTGAGGACTGCCATCTAGTTCATACCACCTTGTTATGGGAGGTCTTGCATTGGTTTTCATGCCTTTTCCAAAGAGTTCTCCAGTTGGCTTGATATTGGTCAAAACTTAAAGCCAGAATGGTGGCTTTACTGTCTTTTCAGGGATAAGAACTGCTATTAATGCTACATACACATTAGAATTAGTTTCCATTCATCTAGGGAACAGACTGGATGTGTCAGTCTGCTTCTTGAAAAGTAAGCAGGATAAAGCATGTTGATATGGGTGTCACAAATCTCTCAACTTCCCTAGTTACTGTCCTCCTCAGCCACATGCTCTGTATTTCAAGCCAAAACTACATGAAGGCAGAAAAATTTGGCAGAGTGAACAGTGCATGTGGGTATAAAAATTTGTTCTTTAGCAGAAAAAAGAAAAGTATCTCCTTCATAAAACATGACAATTCCTTTTTGTTTTTAAGAATCTGTATGTCGTACTTTACCTTAGGAAGGCTTCCAGTAATTATCTAATCAATCAAGAAAAGTAGCTCGTCAGCTTGTGCCCTTGCCCACCACATTCTCTTCCTCGAATTTTAGGTGTGACTCTTCTAATTGGCCCAAGGGCCAATCTTCACTGACAAAAAGGCTTTTCGTGGGAGAGGGTGTGGCACGGAGGTCCTGTGGCAGCCACTTTGACTGTAGGGGCTGTGAGGCTTACTTTCTGGATTCAGGACTTTGGGTTGTCAAGTAATAAACCCAACTCAGAATTATTTAGGTGTAAAAAAAAAGGAATTTATTCTAAGTGATATTGGGTATCTCAAAGAATGAAAAGCAAAGGAAAATGCCAATATTCAAGAAAGGTTGAGATATAACTAGGCGTAAAAAATTGCTGGCAGTAGGGTCATACACCCAGTATCAGAACTTCTCTTCTCCATTTTGCTTCTGTGTTTCCCTGAATGGTAGCTTCCTTCTTTTTTATCACTGCAGATTGACTTTCTCCAAATGACAGACTGTCCCTGATATGCTAGCTTTCTGTCTAGCTATGCTAGAGCTTCAACCACACAAAGCGAGACTTGACTTTTTCAGTTCTAATTCCCAAATCCTGGAGAAAAACTCTGCTAGGTCTAGCTTGGATCAGATTGACTGGGGCAAAGAGACAGAATACCATTTGGATCCATCTGGTGAGGTGCCCAATCAACCAACTGCCTACAGGTGGTATCATATTGTACTAATGTGTTGGCTCCAGTGTTTTAAAAAATTGGGTGGGGCAGTTCTCAACAGAAGAGGTGCTGGCCTGACTGTTCTGTAGATGTCCACTATTGCAAGGATATATTGTGAAAACAGTGCAAGGAAGTAGATCTAGGTTCCCATTTTCAAACAAAGACTGCCTATGGTCCTTGAGAATTTCCCATTAAAGCTGTTCATTCACTGTTAGAAAGTTCAGGATGGTGGGATGGCTGGAGGCGGTGGCAGGGATTTGGGGGCTGCGGGGGGGTGGGGGGGGATGATTACACATGAAAGGAACTGAGCAGAGAGAAGGGAAGGAGGGAGCATCAAGGAAGCATCGCCAACTTGAAGCAGAGGGCTCTGGACCTCCCAGCTCTTTTCAGATTAAATCCTTATGGTTCTCTCAGCTGCCTCTCTTCCCTCCTGCCTTACACCTCTTTTTAATATTTTCTCCCATCATTTTTAAAATGAAGACCTTCTGTGTTACTTAGAAGATTTCTGTCCTTCTCCAGAGAAGCAGTGCTCTACTTTAGGCAGAAGTTTGAAGTTAAGGCAGATTTTGTCTCTTCAGGAAAGCACTTTCCCATATCCTCCTTTATTTTTCTTAGAACCACAAAATCTGAGGGTTGGAGTAGACCGATCTTGAGGGCCATCAAGTTCATCCATTGCTGTATACATCCCATCTCTGGCATCCATCACAAGTGGCCATCCAGACTGCTTGACCACTTACCATGAAGGAGAATTCATCATTTTTCAGGACAACCTATTCCATCTGTAGATAATTCTATTGGGAGTACTTCCTTATATTAAGCTCCTACTGTATCAATAACGTGTCTTCTCTTTTTTTTTTAAGGTTTTATTTATTTATTTGACAGAGAGAGAGAGAGATAGCAAAAGCAGGAACACAAGCAGGGGGAGTGGGAGAGGGAGAAGCGGGCTTCCCGCGGAGAGGGAGCCCGATGCGGGGCTCGATCCCAGGACGCTGGGATCATGACCTGAGCTGAAGGCAGACATTTAATCATCTGAACCACCCAGGAGCCCCAATAATGTGTCTTTTCTTGTTGCTTCCATCTGTTGGTCCTAGTTCTACCACCTGGAAACAAAGGGAAAATTCGAAGCTCTTTCCTACATGCTCACCTTTCAAGAGATCAATCACGTTCATCATGTTTCTCCCTATGACTGTTCTTCTCCAGGCTGAGTGACTGTTCTTCCTATAACTGTTCTCTGTTGTATGGGACTTCAAGTACCTCTATGATTAAGAGGGACACTCGGTTCTAGAAGCTTTAGTTATTTAAATGTTCTTCTTAACTTTTTCCCCAAAAACCAGACATAATCTTCCAGATATGGAAAAATCAGCACAGAAAGAACAGAACTAATAAATCTTTCATTATAAATATAGAACTTCTATTCAGATAATCACATTTATCTTCTGGGAAGACCGAGCCTATGCTTAGTCACTCTTATGCTGAAAATTATGTAATGATTAATTTATAATGAAATGTAAATGATAAAGAGTGGTGGTATTTGAATTTTATAAGTGAATTTCAGGCATTAGTAGTTGAAATTGGAATGGAAAGGAGGTGGGAGCATGAATTCCCATAATTCTTCAAATCATATGTCTGCTAGCATTATCCATTAAGTCAAAAGTACTGGGTAGAGTAAGCCCGTATCAGGGCATCATTTGATTCCTTTCTTCCCCTTTGCGAAATCAACATGCTTAACAAATGTTTGTGTCCTGGTTACATATCCACACACAGAGAAGACTCTGGGGTAAGCATACTAATGCACACTTAGCCCTCAAGGAGGCAACAATTTAGAAACTATAAAACAAACCCTTTGCTTCCCTAACTGAAGTGTGCTTTGTAAGCCAGTCAATCAAGGAAGAGCAAGAGATCACCACGTTGGATTGGGTGGCACAGTGGATTAGTGTATATAAATTCTTAACTTGTTCTAGAAGCAGAACCCAATTTAAGGAAGTTGGAGTGAAGCTTGCGGGGTCGGTCAGAGAAGCCCCAGCTCCATGTTAAACGGACATCCTAAAATACAAACACATTGAGTCCTGCCTTTTTCTGTAGTCACTTATGGGTTCATCCGGAACAGGGTGGACAAATTTAAAATTTTGAATCTTAAAATCTAATATGAAATAAGTGGTGACATTTTATGAACCTTATCATAAGCATATGGCACTCGTTCTCAGTTTTGTTTTTTGTTTTTGTTTTTGTTTCTAAAAACATTTGAGTATGTGACAAGCCCCTCAACATTGGCATTGACATTCATCTCAGGCCCTGTAAGACTGCATATCAGCAAGGAAGTTTGACATTTCTTCTGCCAGCAACGTATGTCCCTGACCTTCTGTCTCCATCAGGGAAGTTAAAAAAAAATCATTACTAACTCAGGACAGGGCTGGGAGCTCAGTTTCCATAGTCATAGAGCTTGTTAGTGTCTTTGTGTTAGTAGAGCTGAAACTAAGGATTTGTGCCCCTTGTTAGCAAGAAAGTTCCAGTCTGTGGGCTCAGGTCTAACCCTAACCTCATTTGGCAACAAGGGAGGAAGTGCAAAACTGTAGACAGCTTGAAGCTACCTACCATACAACTGAGAAAATAAATTCAAGATCCCTTAGAGTGAGGAAGGTCAAGTTCATCCTTTAGGTATAACTCATTGTTGTGGTTAGCAATGTACCCAGGGGATTCCAGTCGTGGTGCCATTTATTCTTCTGAATTTCGTAGTGCTAATAATTGTGAAATTCATAATCTCTGCACTTTAGAATTAAAACAAAGGAGGACTTCATGATTGGTGTGGTACATTGAATAATTGGGGATACTTTAAGATTAGTTGCTTTATCTATAAACAAAAGCAGAATTACCTGTTTCCTGATTCCTTTACATAAAATCTTTTATTTCTCCAATAGATTGTTTGGTTTTTACAAGGGGATTCTGCCACCAATCTTGGCTGAAACACCAAAAAGAGCAGTGAAGGTAAGCATTGTATACCTTTCCACCAAGTGAAAATAGACTGCAGTAACAGCTTCACCCCTAAAACATCCCACAACAAACTATGGGATGTTAATGTGAATTAAAGATAAGAGAGTGAAAAATTTAATGTGGAAATTATAGCATAACTTTTATTATAATTAAGCCAGGTCACTCTCTCAAATATTGGTTTATGGATTTTTTTTTCAGGTAAAGGCACTCCCTTCTAATGAGGAGATTATACAAAAAGTACGGTAGTGAATGAAATTCACATAATTGAACCGCAGCAGCCACAAAATAACTTGGACCTTTTTCTCAAAGCAGTTCATCAATTTTCCTCGGTAGTAATAATTATTAAAAGAGAGAGGGAGAGGAGATAAGGGAAGAGTGGTAGAAAAAACTATTTCCCTAAATCAGTTCCATTTTATGAACAAAGCAAACAAAAATACACTGTATTTCTTTGTATATGATTCTCATATAACACATTTACTTGGAATGCTAACTTCATTTCCTTCCCTACCCCCTCCACCCCGGTCTCCTCTGTTAAAATTCTCTACTCTGGTTTTTACAAAATTATTACTTCCACTATGTTGATTTCCATTCTTTAACCACATAACTATGGGAGTTTATGTACTACTTGCTGGTTCAGTATCTGGATAGGAACACAGAGATCTGGCAAGGACCTCCAGGGAAGAAAGAACTAAATCGGATCACTCTTTTCTATGTTCTCTCGAACAGAAGTCCTGATCACAGTGACTCTGGCTGTCAGTGCCCCCTCCCCCACACCACTGACTTCACCAAATATGGCTTTGTCTTTCCATTAGAAGGATAGCATACACTTAGACTAAAAGACTTCCTTTCCAACTAATGACATAAAGCTTTTTTCAGATACTTTACTCAATTTGTATTCCCAATATTCCTGAGAAGTAAGATGGGACAATTTCTATACTTTTGCTCAGTGAGTTAAGAGGTAGACTAAGTTAAATTTTATGATAAAATAACCAACATGCACAGACACCATACTTTTACATTATGTCAAAATGGTAATTTAATAGGATTTGATTCAGGTCTAGAATTCAGAAAACAAAGCTTTAAAACATACTTTCTCTATAAATTCATCCCCTTTGTTGCCATCGTTTTTGTGATTTTATATTATTACTTCAATACAAATTTCATTGTAAGGATCTGAATCGCAGGAGAGAATCTGGAAAAAGTTCACCAAAGTACACAAGAGGGCTGAATTGAATTATGAAATGGCCTCACTTGATAAAAGATTGCCCAAGTAAACAAACAGAGCAGGGTTCCTTTTCAAAAGGAAAGTCACTTTGTCTCCGTGGAATAATATATTCATTTGTTCAGTGTTTTACACGGATAAATAGAGTAAGTTATAATTAAAGTTTTTCCTGGAATATTTTTCCTTACTACTATACATTGGAGACAATTTCATTTCAATTTGAAGAGGATTAAAGTTTATCAGTGTTGAACAGTCTTTTATGTAAGGAAAAAAAAAGTTGAGCTTTACAAAACTGAGTTAGTCTCTACTTAAGAAAAAAGCAATGCTCACTGCCAGAGCAATGGTTAACAGATGAACTTTTGGGCAACTGGATATGGTGTATGTGTCCCAGACATCTTGTTTCAAGTTGATTTTACCTTAAAATTATTGAGACATATGGTAAGTGCATTGGCTTTTTAAGTATAACTTGGAGTTAAGTGTATCTTTGCCAGATGGATAGCACTAGTTTTTCAATACAATTTATGAAAATATTCATAGAAAATTTTATAGATATTTATCTTAGAGTTTGCGAGGAAAGTGATCATCTGATTGTAACAATTTCATCATCATAAAGTGCTTCATTGTATGGCATCAAAGTTTACTGCAGAAAAAATATTCAGAGACCATATATATGTGTATGTATAAATATACCCACGCATACATACATCTACATGAATGTATGTGAATATGTGTGTGTGTGTGTGTGTGTGTGTGTATTCCTTGGTACTGACACTTCAATCACAATCATTATTATAATCAGAAACAGACAATGTGAAGTTTTTCTGCACTGTATTCTTTGAAATGAGATTCATCATTAAAATAAGACTCATTGATGCTAAATAAATGAAACTTCCCCCTTCACAGATTAAGACAGAATTAGTATCGCAGTTAGCAAAAGGAAATAAAGACCTCAGAAAGAGGCCAGCTGGCCCTTCAGACATGGGAGGCACCCCTTTCAGGGTTCCTGGGTCTGGTCTTGAGACTCACAGGTCCAAAAACAGCATTTTTCCGTGGACAGACTCTCCAGGACTGCCTGATGCTAACCAGACGCACGGGAGAGTAGGAATTGTGAAGGCTATTCAGCACCCTCCCTACACCTGTCATGGTGTCTACACACACTAGATGCTCAATCGATGTTAGATGCACAAATGAAACGTAGAGAAAGAAACAGAAAGAAAGTGTCCTGACTTATCACAGGAGACATTCCTCTCCTAGTACCCAAAATTCTCACATCTCCTATTCAGTTTCTGGAAGACCAAGACTTCCATTTCCAGCCAAGGTAGAGTAACAGAGCCCAGATTTACTCTCCTGCCTGAAACGGCAACAACAAAAATGAACAAAATATATGAAACCACAATTTTCAGGACACTGGACGTCAGACAAGGAAGGGCAAGGACGGGGAACAAATGAGAAGAGCTCTATGGTTTGCCCCCAACTTACTGCCTTGAGAGGCTTTTCCAGACCCCAGGCATGCGGGGGAAATGTAAGCAGAGCCCAGTGTACTCCCTGGGTTGAGACGGAGCTGACGGGCTGGAGAGGACAAGGCAGCTAGAGTTCACAGGACAGAGGTACCGGATAGGGGAAAGCTGCACAGAGAGAGAGCTCCTAAGCTCTTCAGAGGGACCCCGTAGATATTCAGCTGAGAACCGAGTGCATGCACGTGAGGAAACTAGCAAGGCCTGGGAAAGAGCTGTCCAGAGCATTCGGGGGAACAGTGCTTAGCAAGCACGTGGGGCCAGGAATAGTACCTGCTCCCAGGTGTCACCCAGACAAACTGTACTGACCTCCCCCGCCTAACCACAGCCTGACACTTCTCCAGAGACCACAAGGCTGGTCCTCCTGGGGCAGCGCCTCTCCCTAGGTGAAACAGCCAATTTCTAGGTTCCAGTAGATAGGTTATATATGGCACAGTTCATTTGGATTCCAGATTTTATATTCAGGATTCCCAAACCTTGATTGAATATGAATGTTTTCAAAACTCTTTAGTCACATATCTTAAGTATGACTTTGGGGAGGCAGCTTTATTACATGTTGAGCCTCCCAATTTTATCCTTAGAGTGTAACTTCATATCTCATATGATAGGGTGCTTATATCACATCTATGCATTGATCAGTGTTGTGGATGAGAAACTACTGAGAAATATCATGTAAGCCATAAAGGAGTAGTGTTGTATAGAGAGGAATTAAAATAACAGCTCATCTACTCATGCTTAAGAATACAGTTCTGGTATAATGTCTTCTAAGCTTTGAGCATGGGAGACATTCAGTAAATATTTGTTGAATGAATGAATGAATGAATATTTTTTAGTAAATATTGGTTTCACACTAGAATGATGACATTTACATTATTTTACTATTACTGAAACTCCATTTTAAAAGACTTTACCTTTTCCTTCTTTCTAGAGGGGAGGGGGGTAGGGGGATGGGTTAGCCTGGTGATGGGTATTGAGGAGGGCACGTTCTGCATGGAGCACTGGGTGTTATGCACAAACAATGAATCATGGAACACTGCATCAAAAACTAATGATATAATATATGGTGATTAACATAACAATAAAAATTTAAAAAAAAAGGTAGTGTCTTATTTATTTGAAGCACTATTTGCTTATTGGAATATATGATGATAATATTTTTCATGACTTTTGAATTCAGTACACTAACAGTTCATCACTGTGACTTACGGGGCTTCTTTATTCCCAGGAACCTGAATCATTTCATCCTAGGCATTCGCCAAAAGCCTCCAACAACACTGCTGATGAGTACCAGTCAGCTAATAGTAGTTTGGTTTTTTCACAATTTTAGAGATGGAATAGGAAAAGCCTAGAATTGCCCCAACACAGAGACTTGGAATTCCCTGTGAGAATTGCTACAATGACAGGCCAAGTGCCTGTCCCTAGACTTCTCCCTTGAGATCCCAGTTTGGTCCTTAATCCCTTGTAACCACAGAAAGTCAGAAATAAAGAAAAACAAAAATCAAAACCGCATCCTCACACTGGAAGAGAACAAGGTAGTGAGGTCCATCCATCCCAGAACTTCCCTGAACTCAGTATTCAGTGTTTCCAAATGTAGGTCATGACCTATGAGTCATAAAATCAATTAAGTGGGTCACTAGATGTAATGGGTCATGGCCAGAATGTTTTTCATGAAACAGAATAGAAGCATAGTGCATTACACATAGTGAGGGGGGAAACACTGTTTTACAGCAATGTTTTGTTTCAGTTATAAATAAGTACAAGGGTACACTGCATTCATGCGTGTGTGCATGCGTGTGTGTGTTATGTCAATACTTTTTACATAGATTGTGCCCAAAAGGTTTGAAACCTTCTGCCTTGAGGGACTCTGGGCTTCCAAAGTCAGGGAAGGCAAGAAGACCTCAGCAGCAAGAAAACTCTAGGGCAGAGAATCCCAAACTGTTAACAGTCACGGCTCAGCAGTGAGCAAGCATATGTCATGGTTAAGAGCATACACAGGCTTTGCAGTCAGTCCTTCTACTCACTAACTGCAGGATATGGATCCACAGAATGAGAATCCTGATTGTACTATAACCTGTGGTCTGATGGCGTTGTACAGACTCAGTGCAGTAGCACCTGCAAAGGCCTTAGCATGTCTTCTGGACCACCTCAAGCTATCGTGAGGGATACAAGTAACTGTGGTTCCTCTATTAGCCCAAAGTGAAGAAAGAGAATGAAAACTAAGATTTTCTCAAAGTCCTGTGTCAGGCATGTCAGAAAATCTTACTTAAATTCTGTTATTTAAGAATATTTTGGAAGGTAAGTTTTGTGTTCTTGAGGGCTGGAAAGGTCAGGTGACTTGCCCAGGCTTTCACAGCTAAGTAGCATAGCCAGGATTCAGTCCCAGGATTGCTCCCATCAAAACCCTAGCAAGGTGATTGTCAAAGAATAGTGATGATAGTGACCATAAAAATGAAGAAAAAAAACTTATCTGTAAAGCCTAAGACAGTAACACTTTTCCTCCCATGGTTAATGGTTTCACCAAAACGGTGGTGGCCACTGGTGCTATTTTTTTTTTTTTAACACCAGGAGAGTTTCAGAGTTGACACCATCCACTAGAATGTTAGATCAAGGAGGCAGGGGTTTCTCTTTGTTCACTGCTGCAGGAGGCATCCAATAAATATTTGTTGAATGAGTAAATGAATGAATCCCTGATTTAGAAAAGTCTACATCTGTAGTTGAGTTAAAGAAGCATGGCACAAAAGTTATTCCTGGGTCTTTAAAAGAATCAAAATCTCTGCCCAAAGACTCATAGAGCCATGGGCACCTGGGTGGCTCAGTTGGTTGGCATAAACAGATATGCGTACCAAAGGCAGTCGCCTTTGGCTCAGGTCATGATCCTGGAGTCCCGGAATCGAGTCCCGCGTCGGGCTCCCTGCTCAGTGGGGAGTCTGCTTCTCCCTCTGACCCTCCCCCCTCTCATGCTCTCTCTATCTCATTTTCTCTCTCTCAAATAAATAAATAAAATCTTAAAAAAAAGACTCATAGAGCCATGTCGACTTAGAACTACCTCTTTCTAACAACAGAGTATTATTTGATCCCCAAATCTGCTTTTTTTCTTCCCCCCTCTTATTGAGTTATAAAGTAATAGAGAAGAAGATATTTGAGACCATAAAGTACCCATGCCTTTTCTGGGGCCTTAAAAATCAGGCCCTAGCAGGACCTAAGATTGTGCCTTATCAATGACATTGGCAGCTTCTACTAACAGAGCGCCCAGAAGCAAAACATCATGATCAAGCAAAATTGTTTCCCAAAATACAGAGTACAGAAAGAGAGGAGAGAGATGTATTTGGGGCACATTACATGAAGTCTGATGAGATTTGCCTCCATAGAAATTTATTTGCAGAGAAAATTATATGAAATGTTACCTCATGAAAGGAACCTACAAAATCTTCATCAGATGTTAAAGGAAGGAACCAAGCAGCTCTCTTTCTTCGTGAAAGGAGAAAGGTTGAAGACAGTCTTGCTTTAAGTCAGGACGGACTAGATGACCTCATTGGGTCCTTCTCTGTTTAACCATGGCACCTTCATCATCAGTGAGTGTTTAGAAACTCCATGAAACAATGGAGATACAAAAGTATATGTGCAAGTTAAAGATGAGAAGGGGGTGTCTTTTACAAGTGGGTTAGAAAACTGGGCATTCACTGGGAAAGCAGCTCACAGAGAAAACATAGGAGACCAGAGATTTTGGGTCTCTCTGCCTATAATTTTGAATCACTGCCATAAAAAAGAAGTCTATTGATGTCTGGGGAAACTGAAAATGGTCATGGTAAATGGAAGCTGTATGGTTCATTTACTGCTATAAAGGATTCCATCAGCTCTTCTGTAGGTTATTATAGTTGCATTTGAAAATGTGAACGTTCAAGTAAGGCCCACTAAGCAACTACCCAAGATGAGATTAAAAACTGTGTTCGATGGTTTATCATTTTTCTAAAATGCTGGTTAATATCATGATTTACTAAAGAAATTTGAGTCAATTAAAGGGTTTGTTGCAGGAAATTGTTATAAATCTCTGGGTTTGGTTTGGTTTCACAGTTTTTCACCTTTGAGCAATACAAGAAATTGCTAGGATATGTGTCACTGTCGCCAGCATTGGTAAGTGAGAGTATTTATTATACTTAAGTGTGTGAGTTATTTCATAAACCAAAATCTGGAAACAAAAACCCTTTTGATTCCCCAAGCCCAACTACTAAAATATGAATTCGAGTTATTCAATGTCCAGCTACTTGTTGAAAGCCATCTTCCTAATAACTCACAATTTGGCTATTTTATAGCTCCCAGTGATGAATTTATGATAACAGTGATATGTGTGGAAAGACCCATATGAGATATGGTCAAGAATATAAAATAAAGAGTACATTTGTCAAAGATTCTGTGAAAGCCAAAACATGCATATGTTTACATACTACGTACTGTGCATATCTGTTTATGCAAAAGTCAGTATGCCTAAAACATTTCCTAACAGGTCACTTTTCCAGCTTTTGCTCAAGCTGTAGGAAATACGGGACTTCAGGTCACACTGTAGGCAGATGCAGACTGAAGGACGTTTAGTGGCTGAGGAGAACAGCGATGCTACAATAACACATCTCAGCTGTTACATGGAAATCGCATGGTGATGTGAACATGGCTCAGTGCCTCTCTTCTCCTTCTTGGTGACTGCTGCTTTTCACAAGACAAATTAGAGTAGCCAGATGGCTTCTACAAGTATGTGTGCAACAAGAGCCCGAGAGAGAGAGAGAAAGTGCACTGATTTCTCCCTCCAAATCTGAAAAACAAAACAAAGCAAAACAAATGACACATTGGCCTTCCAACTGACAGTGGGCCTCCCAGCCCCTAGAAACGTCCTCCGGTTTACCTGCTGCAATGGACCTCAAAACTCAACCAGAGAGGCAGTGTTCTGAGCTTCAGCTCTTTCGTTACTTAAGTTTTAAAGGTTCACTTCGGAATATTTACTCTGCCCAATAGACTGTCCAAGAAGAAATATCTGTTACTTTTTAAACCGCACTTGCCCCTTCTCTAGGAAGGATCCTGCTAAGAAACTTCTCTCCCAGACTCCTGCCTAAACAAGGTGACTGCAAAATAGCCTTGTACGGTAGAAGTGGCAGCATGGGTCCTAATATTAGCTCAGATTTTTTTTTTTAATGCCTCACTGTCTTCTCTTAATGTCATTCTCAACTTTGAAAACATCTTGGTTAAGAGAGGATTAAAAACTTCCTAGCAAAAGACAATAAAATATGGTCTCCAGAGGCCCAGCTGGCTGTTCCTGTGTCGAGCATTGGTACCATGTGAGAGGCTGCAGGCTTTTGGACTCGTGAGAATTAAAACAGAAATGCATTTGGCCACTCCAGCTACTCTAACTGAATGCATGCAAACTGTAGACAGTTGTTCTCTTTCCTTGAACTCATTTATTCCAGTTTCTTTTTGATACAGCTAGACACTTAAAGAGCCCTTAAATGTCCCCTGGTGCTGGCACATGAAAAGCCTAGGAGGCTGGGAACCCCACTGTTACCGCTGGTCTCTGGAATCATCTAAGTAATGTGATCTGCTGATAGCTGATCAATTCTTTTGACAAGGGACTGCTGAACACTAGTTCTGACAGCAAACATAGCTGAGTTTTACAGAAGAACAAAAAAGTGAATTACTTGGAAGATTGCATATAGTAAGTAATAAAAACCTGAACATCTGGATTTTAGCTTTCCCAGTCAGAAGAGTTTTGGACGTGTGTGTGTGTGTGTGTGTGCACACACGTGTGCACACACACATGTTTTGGCTTCCATGATGGAAGTCTGAGATAAATGAATAAAATATTTGGTCTGTTACCCTATGCAAATGTGTTTAAAATCATAATGAAGGGGCATGAAAGGAAAACATGATGAATTACTCCCTCTCCTTGAATCCGTATACTATCCCATTATTCCTCTGCATTTTTATGTGCAACAGGACCAATGGTTTTTGTAAAGCACTTCACAAAGGCCTTCACACGTTGTTTTGATCCTCATATGCGGTAGGGAGATTAGATAGCATTGTTCCATTTTACAGATGAGGAAACTGTGGCTTATAAAAGGCTGAGTGATTTAGACACAGAGTTGCAGCTTGCACATGTGGTGCCTTTGTGTGAATTATGCAAAGTTGCCCTTTCCCCTGGCAGGTGCCTCTCCAGGGCTCCAGCTTGGCAAGTGGGGTGCAGGCGGGACCTCAGCCTACACACACACACACACACACACACAC